AGACAAATATACTGATGTTTTGGGGCATGTTCATATTTTTTTAGACATCACCATTATTAATCAGTGACCGGGTATATTAATCAACAATAAGCTCCTGAATGCCAAAAGAGAGTTTATATGCACATGTGCACAATATTATTCAGACAGAATCTTTTCAATAAAAAAGCTGCTTCTGCAGAAGCAGTTGGAACCAAAGAAACGTAGCGGAAGACTGCTTAATACAGAGGCAGGGAAGCTGTGGCCTTTCAAATGTTGCTGAACTCCAACTCCCATTAGCCCCAGTCCACATGGGCAATAGTCAGGGATGTTGGGAATTACAGTCTGGTGGGCCACAGATTCCCTGTCCCTGATTTAATGAGATGCATTTGCTGCCACTGTGGTCTCTTGGGCTTCCCAATCAGAAGGTCGGCGGTTCGAATCCCCGCAACGGAGTGAGCTCCCATTGCTCTGTCCCTGCTCCTGCCAGCCTAGCAGTTCAAAAGCACGCCAGTGTAAGTAGATAAATAGGTACCACTCCAGCAGGAAGGTAAACAGCGTTTCCGTGCGCTCTGGTTTCCATCATGGTGTTCCGTTGCGCCAGAAGTGGTTTAGTCCTGCTGGCCACATGACCTGGAAAGCTGTCTGTGGACAAACGGCTTGAAAGCGAGATGATCGCCACAACCCCCTAGTCACCTTTGACTGGACTTAACCGTCCAGGGGTCCTTTACCTTTTTACCTTACAATTTATCTGACCACCCATAATAATTTTGGGACTGCTACTGTCCCATGTTCCTGTGCCCATGTGGTGGGGCTTAGTAAGTTTGCTAGAACTGTGGTAACATCGTGTGCATGTGAATGTGTGCTCCCCAGTCCACATAGAGTGGCACTACGGACAAAAGAAGAAGAAATGACCCTAGGCAAGCGCTTGGCTAGAAAGATGTGAAAGGGGACACCTTCCAAATTCAGAAGAGCACTGCAGGGACGTTATGAGTTTGTGCTGGGTTTCTCACCCAATGCAAGCCAATGCAATTCTGGGCTGCATCAATAGGAGTATAGCATCTAGATCAAGGGAAGTAATAATGCCACTGTATTCTGCTCTGGTCAGACCTCACCTGGAGTACTGTGTCCAGTTCTGGCCACCACAGTTCAAGAAGGACACTGACAAACTGGAACGTGTCCAGAGGAGGGCAACCAAAATGCTCAAAGGCCTGGAAACGATGCCTTATGAGGAACGGCTAAGGGAGCTGGGCATGTTTAGTCTGGAGAAGAGGAGGTTAAGGGGTGATATGATAGCCATGTTCAAATATATAAAAGGATGTCATATAGAGGAGGGAGAAAGGTTGTTTTCTGCTGCTCCAGAGAAGCGGACACGGAGCAATGGATCCAAACTACAAGAAAGAAGATTCCACCTAAACATTAGGAAGAACTTCCTGACAGTAAGAGCTGTTCGACAGTGGAATTTGCTGCCAAGGAGTGTGGTGGAGTCTCCTTCTTTGGAGGTCTTTAAGCAGAGGCTTGACAACCATATGTCAGGAGTGCTCTGATGGTGTTTCCTGCTTGGCAGGGGGTTGGACTTGATGGCCCTTGTGGTCTATTCCAACTCTATGATTCTATGATTCTATGATTCTCTTTAATCTTGCTACAACAAACCAAAGCAGTTAAAGGGGAATGCAAAGAGGGAATTGTACCCCACTGTTGGCTGCCAAGAACAGAAGCTAGGAAGATAAGATGTTTGCTAAACAGCCATTCCAGTTCAAGACGTGTAAGCAGAAAGAGGATAGTAGCACCTCTTGCACCCAGCAGCACTCAAACAAAAGGACTCCCCAGTGTCTCTGGATGTGGCTGGATGGGGGCAGGGCATACAACTTTGACAGGAGAATCAGCCAATGATGACATCAGCAGAAAGCATATGGAACGCCAGTCTCTTAGAGTCTCTTGATAAAAGTGAGTGGAAAGGGTGATTCTAATCCTCAACTCCTATATACTGTCGTCCAAGGGGACGCGGGTGGTGCTGTGGGTTAAACCACAGAGCCTAGGGCTTGCTGACCAGAAGGTCGGCGGTTCGAATCCCCGCGACGGGGTGAGCTCCCGTTGCTCGGTCCCTGCTCCTGCCCACCTAGCAGTTCGAAAGCACGTCAAAGTGCAAGAAGATAAATAGATACCGCTCCGGCGGGAAGGTAAACGGCATTTCCGTGCGCTGCTCTGGTTCACCAGAAGCGGCTTAGTCATGCTGGCCACATGACCTGGAAGCTGTATGCCGGCTCCCTCGGCTGATAAAGCGAGATGAGCGCCGCAACCCCAGAGTCTGTCACCACAGAGTCGGTCCACCCCAGAGCCGGTCCACAGCGCCACCCGCGTCCCTTTATGGATTATAAACAGGATTAAATATTCTATGGTCCTCACACCGAACCTGACAATGACCCTCTTGCCTTCTTGCCTTCCAAGGTTCAGTACCGGCACACCAGATTCCAGCCGACATTGTGGCTGGCCGGCACGTGTGACGTCACACGGCTGGGAACACATTAGACCAGGCATAGGCAAACTTGGCCCTCTAGCTGTTTTGGCACTACAACTCCCATCATCCCTAGCTAACAGGGCCAGAGGTCAGGGATGATGGGAAACTGGAGTCTCAAAACATCTGGAAGTCCAAGTTTGCCTATGCCTGCATTTAGACCAATGCTCCGGCCATCTGCCACATGTTTTCTTCCCTGCTTTCAGATAATTTTCACTCAGGCCCTATCAGGATGTGGCTTTTATCCTGCTACCCAAGGGCTTTGTCTTTCCTGCACCGTTAAGACCACCTCACTCCTCAGGTACATCCTCTGATCTACTTTCTCTTAAATTACCAAATACTTTTTCTATCAAATAACATGTTCATGAATTATCCCAGTCTACATTGCTATAAATTTGGGACAACAAGGGGGGGGGGGGGCCCCAAACCCCCCCAACAGGGAGAACAACTTTGGGGCTTTGTACCTCTGTTGTTTAACACTCCCTTTTCCCTAGGAGGAATCAACCAATGGCGGGAGCTTGCCTTGAATGCCTTTTGAAAAATATATGCAAGGTCATTTCTATTTACATTTGGCTTTTGAATAACCAGGAATAAGCCTTTTTAATTGGATCTGAGGCTCTGGCAAATGAATATGAAATAAATATCTATTTTGAAGGCAAGTTCACAGACTTCATAGCTGCAGGATTAAGTCATGACATGCATGCGTGCAACTACTTTCAGAGATAAAATGCTACAAATAGATTGCCAAACTTCAAAGCACAATGTTTTCCAGTACACTTAAGTTCACACATTCAGCTGCAAGTCACCAAACGGTTGTTGCTCTAGTTGTTTGTACTTGTTAGTTGCTTTCTCACAGGGCGACCCAAACGACTACATTAAAATCAATAAAAAATTAGAAAATTGTCCAGTAGCACCTTAGAGACCGACTAAGTTTGTTCTGGGTATAAGCTTTCGTGTGCATGCACACTTCTTCAGATGAAAGCTTATACCCAGAACCAACTTAATTGGTCTCTAAGGCGCTATTGGACAATTTTCTATTTTTTTTATTTATTTCGACTGTGTCAGACCAACACGACTACCTACCTGAATCTAGTACATTAAAATCAGTTAAGAACCAATTAAAAAATCCCCCACAAATATATCTAAGTAGGTAAAAGGCAGGACTTACAGATCCCACACCACCAAAAAGAGGCCATGTTGCCCCCATTCAAATTAAGGGCCAAAAACCCAGGGCAAGAGAAAAAAGAGAGCATTTCACCAATGGGAGGCCACCACTAAAAAGGCCCAATATTGTGTTGCCACCCTATGAACACCTTGAGAAGGGAGCACACGGAGAAGGGCCTCAGATTATATTGCAGGGAGAAATGTTGAATAGTGCAGGAGAAATTAAGCAACAGACATACACACATAAGCAAGCGTTAGAGCTTTCTGATCCACATTCTTGATGTTACTCCACTACTCTTCCAGCTATACTGTTCCCTGGTGTGTGTTTTTTCAGAGTCCAGTGCAAAATTCCTAAATGGCTTGGGCCCAGGTAGCTACAGGACCACTGGTTTCCATATCAGACTGTCCACCAATTAAACCTTCAGAAGTGGCTCCGTTCCATGTCCTGTCTCTGTCTGAGGTTAAGTTGGTAAGCAGGCATTCACTGCTGCAGCTACGAGGCTCTGGAATGGCCTCCCTCAAGAATTGTACAGTCATATCTCGTGTTATGTTTGCTTCATGATACGTTTTTTCAGGTTGCATCCTGCGGCGACCCACACGCATGCGCAGAAGCGGCGAATCGCAACCCGCGCATGCACACACACGCCGCAGCGGGTTGCGTTCTGCTCATGTTGCAAACGGGTCTCCGGAACAGATCCCATTCGCAACCAGAGGTACCACTGTATTTCACTCCCCATTTTTTGGTTTCCTGGTAGGCCTGTTCTTTTTCCATTGGGCTTTTTAAAAACAACAACTAATAATGTGTTGTTTGGACTGTCCTCATTTGCTACTATGTAAATTGACTGTGTGTTGCTGTTAATTTGATTTGATTACTGTTGTTTCCATGTTACTGTATTACAGTGGTACCTCGGGTTACATACGCTTCAGGTTACAGATGCTTCAGGTTACAGACTCCGCTAACCCAGAAATAGTACCTTGGGTTAAGAACTTTGCTTCAGGATGAGAACAGAAATCGTGCTCCAGCGGCGTGGCGGCAGCAGGAGGCCCCATTAGCTAAAGTGGTGCTTCAGGTTAAGAACAGTTTCAGGTTAAGTACGGACCTCCAGAACGTATTAAGTACTTAACCCGAGGTACCACTGTATTTGTAGCTCAGTTGTATGAACAATTAACATCGATACCTTCTCAATGAAGTCAATGGCCACCATCCAGAAGCTATGGGCATGCATGGTTCCAACTAAAAAGGCAGAGATCTGAGAACAGGTCATGGCCTTCCCACAGATGTCAATGGAAACTTGCTATGCTAACCGTCTGTATTTCATAAATAGGAAGAAAATGAGCAACCAACCTCAGATCAGAGCGCCTGGGGAAAAGCTTCTTCTTGCCACTGAAATAGACTTCAAACTCGTCCACCTTTAACCGGTGTGCATAATCGATATATGCAGATACTTCCTGGCCACGGATATTGTGATCCCGAATGAAGATTATGGACTGGGAATGGGGGAGAGAGAGGAAGGGGACAGAAAAGTATGATTAAAATAAAGTGTCCAAACAAGAAAGACTTTTGCTATTCATATTGATTATTTGCTTTTGAGGACATGTACTATATTTCATGCTGTACTTTTCCAACCAAGCCCAAGGTATTATTATTATTATTATTATTATTATTATTATTATCATCATCATTATAAATTTGTATACTGCCCTTCCTCCGAAGATCCCAGAGCAGTTCGCGACAGAGTGTATGTTTACTCCAAAGTAAGTCCCATTGAGTTCAGTAGGGCTTACTCACAGAAAAGAGCATGTTAGATTGCATTTTGCATTTGCAAAGAGTTATGCAAATATCAGTGTGTTTGTTCTTGCAGAAACGTGTTCCTCTGCTTTAGACAGAGAAAAAGATCACTCAAGGCCAAAGAGTGAATTCATGGAAAAGTCCTGGACCCAGCTTGCACTGCTTTTGCACTAAGCCGGTCTGGCTTTCATAGCAAATACATCCCAGAAAACACCTACAGTAATCTAACAAGTAGTAGACTGACTCACAGCCTTGGAGACCCACTGTTAGAATGAGCCCCAAATTAATCAGTGAAGTAATATTTTACATTCTGCTCCAGCCTGTTTCCTATTTAGTTCATTATTTTCCATACATTGTCTTTCCATCTTTACAAAAGGAAGCCAATACAAAAGGAAGCCAGTATGTTTCCGAGCACAATTCAAAGTGTTGGTGCTGACCTTTAAAGCCCTAAATGGCCTCGGTCCAGTATACCTGAAGGAGCGTCTCCACCCCCATCGTTCAGCCCGGACACTGAGATCCAGCACTGAGGGCCTTCTGATGGTTCCCTTCCTGTGAGAAGCCAAGTTATAGGGAACCAGGCAGCGGGCCTTCTCGGTAGTGGCACCCGCCCTGTGGAACGCCCTCCCACCAGATGTCAAAGAGAAAAACAGACTACCAGACTTTTAGAAGACATCTGAAGGCAGGCCTGTTTAGGGAAGCTTTTAATGTTTAATAGACTACAGTGGTGCCTCGCAAGACGAAATTAATTCGTTCTGTGAGTTTTTTTGTCTTGCGAAGCACGGTTTCGGAAAAGTTTTGGAAAAGCTTCAAAAATCACCAAAGTCTTCAAAAACCTCAAAAAAGCTACCACACCGTGTGCTATGAGTTGCTCCTCGAAGTCAAGTCGCAACTGTATTAACGGTTTTAAGAAAAAGGAAACAAACTTGCAAGACGTTTTCGTCTTGCAAAGCAAGCCCATAGGGAAATTCGTCTTGCGAAGCAACTCAAAAAGCCAAAAACCCTTTCGTCTTGCGAGTTTTTCGTCTTGCGAGGCATTCGTCTTGCGAGGTACCACTGTATTGTATTTTAATATTCTGTTGAAAGCCGCCCAGAGTGGCTGGGGAAACCCAGCCAGATGGGCGGGGTATAAATAATAAATTATTATTATTATTATTATTATTATTATATGTTTCCAAACGTATTTTTATTATGAAAGAGTGGCAGCTTTCGTGTGCCTTTGTTTAACAAACCTACATTATACATGGCATCTTGCAAAGATATACAGGCAACAGAAATATGTCCTTACTCCAATAGCGGGGAAACAACGAATTACCTGGTAGCTACTTGCAACTTGAAATCGCCCGGAGTCAACCAGAGGAGGACTCAAGAGCCTTTGGCTCGCAGCCCATTCCTATGCTTGAATCTTACCCTTAAACAGAAGCCATTGGGCAAGCTCAGTCAGGTTCTGATTGAATTGTCGTCAAATATTGAGCCAGCCCTTTGAAGGATAGAGCATCCTGCTCCGGGTTGCAAGAAGCTCTGTGGCTTCTGTCCATTTTTGTGCTGAACAAGATCCAGTAAATGAAGCTGAAGACTTGGAATAAGTGGATTTCACTTTGCTCTGTGAGTGTGGTCTTTCTTTCTGGGTTACCTTTTCCTTGCCCTGAGGCTGCCACAGGGAGAGGTGTGACCTGAGCTCTAATTACCTATTTGAATTCGCTAGGAAATTGCAGCTGCCTTCAGAGAAAATAGCCTTGAAGCTGCTTTTATAGAGAGAATATCTGAGTTACTTGGGGGGGGGGACGACAGTTTAGAAATGCTAAGGGACTATCTAATACATGGGTCAGCAAACCTTTTCAGCAGGGGGCCGGTCCACTGTCCCTCAGACCTTGTGGGGGGCCGGACTATATTTTGAAGGGAAAAAAAGAACGAATTCCTATGCTCCACAAATAACCCAGAGATGCATTTTAAATAAAAGGACATTCTACTTATGTAAAAACACGCTGATTCCCGGACCGTCCGCGGGCCAGATTCAGAAAGTGATTGGGCCGGATCCGGCGCCCTGGCCTTAGTTTGCCTACCCATGATCTAATAATACACATATTCTTAGACTGAGCAGTGACAGTAAGAACAAGTTCCTGTCTTGAATCCTGGGGAAGAGAAACTACATGTGGTACAGACATTCCCTGGCAAAATCTGAATAGTTTTTGTTTGTATTCTAAGTAGGTGACAATTGGGCAAAAAGGTTTCTGTTGTATCTTTGGTTGGTATGAATAGGTAACAGGATACTCTTGTGCAACTATGCTGCTGCTACAACACCTTGGGAGCCAATATTGACTGAAAATGGAGGGCATAAATACAATAAAGAAAGTGTATTCTTTCTTTCTTTCTTTCTTTCTTTCTTTCTTTCTTTTCTTTCTTTCTTTCTTGGTAAAAAAGAAAGAAAATCCCCAATATTTTGGGGCTTTCCTCTCTTTTTTAAAAGTTTGGTGATCGAAGACCTGATGCACTCTCAAAAGTCCAAATTTAAAATCTCTACCCCCATAGAAACATTAAAATTCACATATGCATCAGTGGGAAAGAAAGAAAGAAAGAAAGAAAGAAAGAAAGAAAGAAAGAAAGAAAGAAAAGAAAGAAAGATATGGGGCAGACAAGAAATTCAAGAAAGAACGGGAAAAGTTTATAATTTATTTAGGAGACCACTGTAAAGAGATGAAAATGTTGGCAGGATTTTAATCCCACTTGTAATGTTACAAATATTATGTACAATATGGATAGATACAAAACATTTGTTGTTGTTGTTTAGTCGTTTAGTCGTTTCCGACTCTTCGTGACCCCCTGGACCAGAGCACGCCAGGCACTCCTGTCTTCCACTGCCTTCCGCAGTTTGGTTAGACTCATGTTTGTAGCTTCGAGAACACTGTCCAACCATCTCGTCCTCTGCCGTCCCCTTCTCCTTGTGCCCTCCATCTTTCCCAGCATCAGGGTCTTTTCCAGGGAGTCTAAACGACACCTAACAAATATCAGTAACTTTTGTGAACTGATTTGCAAGGCTGCGATAATACTCCAAGTGGTTTTCAAACTGTACACCTCTGTACAAACTGTACAACTCTGGAAACTCAAGGCATTTCCGGATCATAACACAAGGGCAGACTCGCTATAGGAGACTACGCTATTGCTCCAGAATGTGCCCTAATGGGAGAATGTTGGAGGTGTCCAAGGAACCCTCTCAGTCTATGTGAGGCACAGCAGGTCTGGTCAAACTCCAATGGGAATGTAAACCAAATCAAAGAACACTCCTATAATGCATCTACAAAGCATTGTTGTTGTTTAGTTGTTTAGTCGTGTCCGACTCTTTGTGACCCCATGGACTAGAGCACGCCAGGCACTCCTGTCTTCCACTGCCTCTCACAGTTTGGTCAAACTCATGTTAGTAGCTTTGAGAACACTGTCCAACCATCTCGTCCTCTGTCGTCCCCTTCTCCTTGTGCCCTCCATCTTTCCCAACATCAGGGTCTTTTCCAGGGAGTCTTCTCTTCTTATGAGGTGGCCAAAATTTTAGAGCCTCAGCTTCAGGATCTGGCCTTCCAGTGGGCACTCAGGGCTGATTTCCTTCAGAATGGATAGGTTTGATCTTCTTGCAGTCCATGGGACTCTCAAGAGTCTCCTCCAGCAGCATAATTCAAAAGCATCAATTCTTCGACAATAAGCCTTCTTTATGGTCCAGCTCTCACTTCCATACATCACTACTGGGGAAACCATAGCTTTAACTATACGGACCTTTGTTGGCAAGGTGATGTCACTGCTTTTTAGGACGCTGTCTAGGTTTGTCATCGCTTTTCTCCCAAGAAGCAGGCGTCTTTTAATTTCGTGACTGCTGGCACCATCTGCAGTGCTCATGGAGCCCAATAAAGTAAAATCTCTCACTCCCTCCATTTCTTCCCCTTCTATTTGCTAGGAGGTGATGGGACCAGTGGCCATGATCTTTTTTTGATGTTGAGCTTCAGACCACATTTTGCGCTCTCTACAAAGCATAGGAGCTCCAAAACAGGCGTGGAGGAGTGTTCTTTAGAATTGGGTACATGTCAAAACTAGGAAGCAGGATCCCGGTGGCAGAAGCAGGAACCCTGGAGTTGTGTTTTTATATGGAGGCATGTGAAACTGGGATGGGGGAGACAACAACTAATTCGGAGGAGGGAATGCAGCACAATAATTGCATGTTCTGAGAAAGCTGAAAGTCACTCTCTTTGGCTCATGGAGTAAAACAAACATTTGCCATTTCCACACATCAGGGAGATCAGTCAGATTTGGAGGATGGGAAGAATGTGAGTAGGGAAGCCATGATACCACCATTAAAATAATGGCGCATATGTGGCTAGGGTATTTACCACTGTAAATATCCCAGACTGGAAAGACCAGAAGGATTGTATTAAAAAAAGGGGGGGAGGTGCCTCAGAGTCAAAACTCAGCAACGTATTTTCCTCCCCAACCACTGCTGAGAAAAAGCCTCAGAAGAGGAAAAATTGAGCTGTGATAAAATAATTTCTACTCCTAGCAGAAAAAGTATTTCCTCTGAATGGCAAGAACTGTAATAAATGATACATTGAAGCTGCGAGGATAAAAGACAGAAAGCTTGTTGTGAGTATATGAATAATTGCTTCATTAAAAAAAAGCAGAAGTAACAGATTAAAAGCAAACACCTTAAATTACATGGGATGTT